TCTCTGGCATATTGCTCTCTGGTGCATGCATCACCTGCTCCCTGGCATGTGTGTGGCATCAACAAGCAGCTTCCCAGTGCATGTGTGGCGTCAGCAAGCAGCTCCCTTGCTTTGTTTTCTTGAGCTGCTCTTTGAAATCTTCTGTTCAATTCTTTCAGTCTGAATTTCTTTCCTTTGTTTGGTCTTCTTAATACTCTAGCGTCATTTTCAAAGTCTCTTCACATGTCCATTTTAGTATTTTCTTTCTCTCTATGTAATGACCTTCATGGATGATATCCTTGTTGTCATCCCACAACTTACCTTGTCTGTGATAATTACTATTTAATGACTCACATATATTCTTGAGATTATTTTTCAATTCAGGTGAGATAGACTCAAGGTCATATTTTGGTTGGTCATGAAATTGTTTTAATCTTCAATTTCAGTTTAAACTTGCACATGAGGAAAATTCAAGCCATAAATTGTAGTACTGAGAGCTGCTATGAGCAAAATTTTGAATGACTCAGGAAGCATCAAAATAAAAGGTGGAAATAATACACAAAGTCAATAACCCAAAAAGAATTCGTTGACACTGAAATATTTCAAGAATTGGCAAATGATCAAGAGTCAATGACAATGAATAAAGAACCTTAAGTTTCACTACAGGCATTGGCAAAAAATAAGACCCCAGGAACCTCTGGTATAGTGGTAAGAAGGTGCACTGCAATCTCAAAGGCATGCAGTTTTAATTTACCAGCTACTCCACAGGAGAAGGATAGGCAATCTCCTCTGTTTATTGCCAATGAAAATCTACTGGAGGGTTAGCTATGAGTTGGTTCTGACTTGATGACACATAACAACAACAACAACCGGAATCTATGAGATACTAATTGATATGTTTCAACTAACAAATGTGGTTCTGGATATGCTTAACACACCTAGCCAGGCAATTTGGAAGATAACTGCATAGGCAACTGACTGGGAGAGATCCATGGTTTGTTCCTATTCCCAAGAAAAGTAATCTCACAGAATGTGCAAAAGATCAAACAATATCATTAATATTACATGCAAGCAAAAATTAGGGAGCTCTGGTAGCCTAGTTGCAAAAACTGTCTTGCAATCCCGAAGGCACACAGTTTGAGGCCACCAGCTGCTGCTCTGTGGGAGAAGGATGGACAATCTCCTCCTGTGCAATTAATTACCTCTTAAAACTGCCGAAGGGTGAACTATTGGTTGGCTCTGACTCGATGGTACAGAGCAACAAAAACAATAAGCAAAATATTGCTGAAGATCATGCAGAAATAGCTAGTAAAGTATATTAACAGAAACTGTTGGCATTTTGGGCTGGGTTTAGAAGAATTCATGGCACAAGGAATATCACTACTGGTGTGAGATTGACCTTTGCAGAAAGCAGAGAGTTCTACAAAAAGGTATTTGACTGTGTAGATTATGAAATACTATGGCTAACATTGAGAAGACTGGGTATCCCAGAACATCATCCGGAACACTAGGCTGTATGAGGAATGTGGCATCAGGATTGGAGGAACATTCATCAACAACCTGTGTTATGCAGGTAACACAATCCTGTTTGCTGAAACTGAGGAGGACCTGAAGAACATGCTGCAGAAGGTCAAGGATGGCAGCCTCCAATATGGATTGAGGCTCAATATCAAGAAAACAAAGATTCTCACCACTGTCCCAATTGACAGCATCATCATGGATGGTGAAGAGATTGAGATTGTACACAGTTTTAGTTTGTTTGGTTCCACAATCAGCACTCTTGGTACTGGTAGTCAGGAAATCAAGAGATGAATTGCATTGGGAGAATTAGCTGTCAATGACCTCTCCAGAGTACTGAAGAGCAACAACGTCAGGCTGGAGACTAAGGTGTGCCTAACGTGAGCCATAGTCTTCACAATTGTGTGCTATGCGTCAGATAGCTGGATAGTGACTACGGATGGTATAAAGAGAATTGATGCCTTTGAGCTGTGGTGCTGGAGAAGAGTGTTGAATATACCATGGACTGTTAAGGGAAAAAACAGGCTCATCCTGGAGAGGGTGCAATCAAGCTGCTCCTTGGAGGCAAGGATTCTGAAACTTCAACTGACATACTTTGGGCATGTTGTAAGGAGAGACCGGTCCTTTGAGAGGTACATCATATTTGGGAGAGTGAAGGGACAGAATAGGAGAGGAAGACCCCGAGGAGATGAAACAATTCAGTGATTGGGGTAATGAAAATAGGTGTGCCAGAGACAGTGAGGTTGGCACAGAATAAGGCAGGGTTTATGGCTCTTGCACATAGAGTTGCTATGAGTCACAAGCAACTTGACGGCACATACAACATATGAAACTTATACCTACACCAAGAAGCTGTTGTCCAAAGGAACACTACATGGTTCAAAATGAAGAAAGAGCTGCGTCAGAGTTCTATTTTCTCCAGATCTATTAAATCTCTATGTTGAGCAAATAATTTGAGAAGCTAGACTCTTTGAAAAAAATATGGTATCAGGACCCTATGAACCTGGAGAGAGGATGAAAGGCACCCAAGCATAGAGGACTCTCCTTCATAGGGTCTCTATGAGTCGCCTGCGACTCGACGGCACTTAACAATAAAATCAGGAGAGAGAGAGAGAGAGAGAGAGAGAGAGAGAGAGAGAGAGAGAGAGAGAGAGAGAGAGAGAGATCAGCTGGCCCAGTGATGAGTAAACGATGTGACCAAGACCAAGGTGGGTGACTTTTAATCCGCGGCTCTCAGGCCAGTCTTTCATTGTTTTGGTTCAGTCATTCCTCTAAGTCATATAGCCCTGGTGTACAAGTTGCCATCCCACGGTCAGTTGTGGTTGCTGTGAGGCTGAACACTGTGACACAGATGTGTTAAGTGCGTTAATGGTTGGCCACCCAATGTGGACAGAGGGTGGGGTGGAGCTCCCTGATTAAAACAAGCATGGAAGGAGGAGTGGCATCCATTTCCATAATAGCTTGCCTCCGGAAACCCTATGAACCTGTGACTGGAAGGCACTTAACAACAGCAACAACATCAGGAATGGAGAAAGATTCATCAACAATCTGTGTTATGCAGATGACATAACCTTGCTTGTTGAAAGTGGGGAGCAGTTGAAATGCTTGGTGCAAAAGACCAAAGACTACAGCCTTCAATATAGATTGCATCTCAATAACAAGAAGACAAATTTTCTCACCACTGGGGCAATAGGTGATATATGGAGAAAAGATTGAAATTGTCAATGATTTTATCTTATTTGGATTCATAATCAACATCTCTGCTACTACCAGTCACGAAATTAAAAAATGTACTGTATTAGGGAAGTCTGTAGTGAGGGACCTCTCCAAAGTACTAAGGAACCATGTTGTCAGTTAAAGACTAAGAGGTCTCTCATTGAAGCCATAGTCTTTCCAATCACTTGCTATACATCTGAGATCTGGACAATGAATAAGGATGACAGAAGAATAATTGATGCCTTAGACTTGTCATTTTGGAGAGGAGTACTGAATACTCTGTGGACTGAGAAAAACCCAAATAGGTATGTCTCAGTAAAAGTGCAGCCAGAGTGCTCCTTAAAGGCAAGGATGATGGAGCTTCATCTCATACCCTGTGGGCATGTTGCTAGAAGGGGATATTCCTTGGAAAGGGACTTTATGCTCAGAATGTGGGAGGGTCAGTGAAAGAGAGGATTATTCATAACAAGATGGACTGACACAGTGACTGCAGCTATGGCCTCAAGTGTGTCAGAGACGAAGATGGAACAGGATAAGACAGAGTTCATATTGTTCAAAGGGTCGCTATGAGTCATGATCAACTTGATAGTGCATAATAACAAAAAAACCCAAGAGACATCTTAAAGTGGGAATGCTTAAGCAGGTTTTGGAGACCAGGCACCGTGTGTTGGATAGTTCACCAGAAGATTGGTGCTTTAGATTCACCAGCTGCATAATATGGAAAAAAACTAGACACTCTCCTTCCATGAAGGTCTGCAGCCTTGGAAACGGAATGAAAGCTCATCATAAATTGTAACCTACTCAATAACAGTGGGTCTCTGGCAGGGAGCACTGGTGGTGTAGTGCAGAGAGAGCTGCACTGCTAGCCCCAAGGCTATACCTCTCTGGTGATTCATATCTGACAGCCACCGTGTGGGAGAAAGATCAATAATCTCCTTCCATGCAATTTAAAGCCTCTAAAAACTTGCGGAAAGATCAGTTATGCATTGATTCTGACTCTAATTAAGTGATTTTGACTTTGACAATGGCAGTATCAAAGTTTATTTAATTATAACAAATCCTAGAATTTCAATACCTTAAAAAGGGTACTCAAGTTCCTCTGATATCCACCCAGGGTTGGTGACTACTGGCAGTAGGAGCAGAGACTTTGGATTCTGCATCGTTAAATCATTTTCATTTGTAGCCTTTAGAAAATCAACGCAAACCAATAGGAGTCAGAGATACTCTATTGAATCAGTAAGGGGTATGAACAGCATCCAAATAGCCACCTATAATTATCAGATTTCCTCTTTCTTTCTCTGCACCTTGGTCCTACTTTCCTCCACAATGAACTCCCTTCCTAAAGACTTTTGCTAGTTACTTCAGGCTTATGTAGCATCGTTGTTGTTGTTGTTATGTGCCGTCGAGTCGTTTCCGACTCATAGCGACCCTATGCACAACAGCCCTAAACCCTGCTCTATCCTGCGCCAACCACACCGCCTCTGACACACCCATCACGATTACCCCAGTCACCGAAT